CACACACACACACGCACACTTTCCAACTGCCAACCATCCTCCTCTGTTATGGGCAGGCAACTTGCGATAAACAGAGCCGGTTTACACCTGTGGCCTCCTCCCAGTTCTCCATACATCCCTCCTCCCTTCCCTCAGTCATTGTTTCCATTCAGACTCAACCTGAGCTGCTCTCAGCTGAATAGCAGCATTGTATTACTCCCTGGCCTGTCTTCCTCACCAGCTGTATTTATGAGTAGTGGAAATGGCTCATTTCATTGCAATGGACCATGTTGTTTTGCTGCTGGTGTGTGTTGCTCCAGTGGTTCAGTGCTATGGCTCAGGTCGAGTTATGGAAAGCTGTGGAGACATGCAACCCCACCACGCTGGACAGAGCCCACAGACAGGACCTGCACCCTTCACCATCACCACCGACCGCAGCCGCTACAGACTGGGAGAGGCAGTGACAGGTAAGCATCAGGTTCAACCTGCAGTTAATGCAATGCAGGTATAATATATAAGTTATTAAATGTACTTCAAGGAGTTTTTAACTGGTTATTAAAAAGTCCCAGTTTAATGCTGATGCCTCTAAATGATCTACATAAGAATCTCTTTTTGGAATTGTTGTGGCCTAGATTTTCTAAAGAATTGCAATGCATGTTGCGATGTTTTTAGGTAGGCTATTGTTTTGCAATGATATTGTTTGGAGAAAGTGAAAATTGCAAAAATTTTTGGGATTTTCTTTTTGTATAATTCATTAAAAATTCAAGGCGTCTTGTCCCAGTGATTAGAGCACTGTTTGGGCTGTAAATATGGTAAATGGACTGTACTTACTTACACAAACAGAAACTAATACTCATTCACACACATTCATACACCGATGCACAGCTTTGGGGACAATTTGAGGTTCAGTGTCTTGCTCAAGGACACTTCGACATGCAGCAAGAGGAGCCAGGGATCGAACCACGAAACCTTCTGATTAGTGGACGACCTGCTCTATCTAGAGCTGGGGCTCAGGACATAGAAACAGCAACAGTAAGACTGAACATGTCTGCATGATCTGCATCTTCACAACTAGAAACAAGCAACCAAGTTTGGTGACGTATAGCTCAATGTTTTGAACACTTGGTCAAATTTGCAGAAAAGTTGCGGTTATTGGACAAAATTGCAAGGTCACGCAGAATTCATTGAATTGAATTTGCGTCAATTGTTGTGATTGCAAAGTTGCAACTTCCTGAAGGGACTGATAGAGGCATCAGTATTAAACTGGGACTGTTTCATAACCAGTTAAAACCTCATTATAGTACATTTAAAAAAACAATAATACTGATTAATAATAAAAATCATAGAAGTAGAAAAAATTAATGAGAATGTGATTTGACATGTTATGCCATGTTATGCTTAATTTCTACTTTCTATATATTGTCATACACTGTAATATAATGTACATATTTTTACACACTCTACTCTCTTCTTACACACTATTTTACATTTTTATATTTTCTATATACATTGATATATTGTAATATACACATATGTTAACGTCCTTCTTACTATTATTAATATTTATATTATTTCTATTCTTTTAATGTCTTGTTTAGCAACTTGAGCAACTGTAGTGAAATAATTTTCCCCTTTGAATAATCAAAAAGTAATTTCTATTCTGGATCTGATTCTGATAATGTAAACTAAGTGTACTGTCAGTAGGGCTTTCCTGGCTGTGATTAAATGTTTTGGGGTTTTTCCAGTTCAGCTCCAGGCTCCGCCCTCCACTCGATTTATTGGTTTCCTGTTGCAGGCTAGAGAGGTGGGGGGACAGTCTGCTGTGGGCTCCTTTGCTCTGACATCAGCAGCTGTTCAGCGCCTCACCTGCAACCAGAAACCTGTGAGTTTACTCCCATACAGCAAACTTGAATGTGAACATGCAGGCCTACAGCAGTCAACACAATATACTGTGAGAAAATGCATGTCTTGCTCACCACTGGAATGTTTATTCGTTTACTACATCGCAGTCTGTTTGACTTGTTTGACCTGAGTGAGACAGTGTGCAGGACTTTTTTTCAAGTTTTATTCAAGTTGTGCTTTCCTCTGATGATGTGTAGCTGGAACGGTCTTGCAGGACCTGACTACACTGTGTTGTGCTGTGGTGCACAATCAGATGCTAGACACTTCTAGACACATCTTGAACTCTATTTCTGTTTTGAGTCCAAATAGACCAAAATGTTGTCATATGAATCTTCCACAACAACATGCCTCTCTCAGTCAAGTTCAATGCAGACTGACCATAAACTTAAAACTAACTCAAAACAAAATATTAGTTAATAAAAAATTAACTAATTTTGTTTGTTACTCTAATTATGTGACATGCAATTATATTAATAACATATAGTATATTTTTGTCTTTAATTACTTTACGCATTAAAATCACAGCACAGATAAAGGTGTATTACATTTCAATCTTGCCCAGCAGAGTGCAGCATTGACCAGCACTAAATGCAAAGCTGTCATTTTTCATCAGGAGGTGCATAACCCCCCCCCCCAAACTCTAACCCTAACCCTATTGCTTTTTTAAGTTGGAAATGTGTTTGCCAAAATGAAAAACAACCAGGAAATACACATTTTACAATAATGTGCTTGCACATATAAAACAAAAGAAAATAGACTTGAACAGTAAAAATGTCAACACTATGGTGACAAACCTTCAGATAGAACATATGACGAACTCCCTTTGTCTCTCTCTCTCTCTGTGCGTCTCAACTTGTGTCCAGAACTCAGCTGTATCCCACACATCAGCATCTGTTAAGACCTCCATTCAGGTGACTTGGATATCAGAAGCATCAGCAGACCCAAAACCTGTTCAGTTTCAGTAAGCTTGAATTATATGGGGCTAAACTAATGACATTATAATTTTGGCATTGAAAATGACACCTGGAATTTAACACAAACCCTGAACTGAAACAAGTTCTACTGAAAAATAAAACGGACATTAAAAATTATCTCATTTTATTTTTTTATTTTGTGCTTTTGACAATCTTTTGATTTTTTATTTATGTTTATATTTTTTCAGTTTTTTGTTTACACTTTTCAACTTCATGTCACCATTTTGGTATGGAGAGGAGGGATTTGGAGAGGGGCAAGGAGAGTGTGATTTACATATCTGCATACTAATGAGAAAATATCATTCTTCTCCTGATAACACACAGTTAGCATACAGCAATGGCTTCCAGGAGTTCGCCTGAAACTCCCCGTATGTTTGAATGAGTCTGTTTCTTTCTGCTGTTGGGTTTTTACATAGAACTGGGACATTTTAAAGTTAACTTTTAAGTGACGTTATGCTGGTCTGGCCACAGTGGAACCTTTTTCAGTGTCAATACAACTTTTTCCAATCCAAAGTGTTTCAATGCCAGTGTTAACTTTTTGAATTTCAGGTTGTGTTTACAATGCCAGATTTTATGAAATGGCATTTTTAATGCCAAAATGTAATATCACTATTCTAGCCCCCCCCCCCAATTATGTTATTTTGTTTCATTTCATTCTGTTCTTGGGGTCAACAAAGTGAGCCATCACTTAATAGCATAATTCCCATGTGTTTGTACCTTGATACATAAAAACTGGTTTTGGTGTATCTGCAGTGCATCCTTCGTGCAGGATTACAAAACATTCTGGGTTGACGTTAAATGTCCTGCCCTGATTTTCGCCAACGACAGTACTGGTGGATCTAGTGGATCTGGGACAAGTCTCATGACTACACCAACAATGGCAGCTACAATACAGCAACCTGCACCCCATGTTGTAAGTAATATTGATGATTAGGAGCAGGGTATGAAACTACCCACCAGTTACCAAACCAGAATGTAACTTCTGTTACTTTCTAGTTTGCCAAATACAACTTAAAAAATGATATAGTGAAAGTTGAGCAGTTAAGACTAATTGATTGGTTAGTTGGATTTGGGAGCAGTGTCCACTGAATTCCCTGTCCAGTCCCATAGCAACAGACAACCTTTGACTGGCCACACCTAGACCCTTGGGAGAGGTCATATACATTGTGGGTTATGTCCATGATAATTCCTATGTTGTTCTTATAATAATGGCTCTGTTAACTGGTTTAATGATAAAACGAGACTAGCGAGACTCCAGTTGTCAATACGACCCCTTGGATAGATTATTCCATTAATAGAAGAGATTAAAGAAAGGTTGAAGGTAGATGGAGAAAAAACAAACCTCCATTTTCAATACGCTAACATGAAGGAGCTATCAAAGATGCAACAGCTGCATATTTCTCTGGCCTGATCAACAATAAGTGTCAACCTAAGTTTCTGTTTAATATTATTAACCAAAATTCTGAATTCTGCTCATTCTGGATTTCCTTCCACCTACCCTGATGACTGTGATACGTGTCTAAATTTCTCTGCTGAATCTATGGTTTGTGGCAGCTGAAAATGCATTACTATAGGTTAGGTTTTTTAAAAGTTCTCTCTATTTGCCTTTAGTTTTGTTTGTTTGCTAAGTTCCACTACCTTTTTACCTACACAACACTCTGCCCATATCCACACACACACTCAATACAGTACTGACAACACTGATGTACATATATTTTTCGTTTTGAGTAAATATTAGTTAAATTAAAATTTATTTTGTCTTAAACACCTTCATTATCAGTGTGGTCTCCCTTGGTTTGTTTGAAATTTGAGCTGGTTCATGACAAATGTTATATAATAATATAATGTAAATGTTTAAATAACATAATTGTACAGCTTTAATCTTTTTCTTTCAGAAAAGTACAATATCCAGTGCAGGCTGCGGTGTCACTAAGGTGTGTTTCAGTCAGCCTTCAAACTGTGACCCTTCAGTCAGTGCTGATTGTTATTTCATGTCAGCCACGATGGTGTCTCCCAGTGATGCAGCTGTCCGCTTTGAGATGATAGGTCCTTCCGATGGATACATTTCTTTTGGATTCTCAGATGATCAGATGATGGTAATGTGAAAACAAAATGCTTGAATCTTTGAAATGTTTAATGCTTTGTAACAATGTTATAAAGAGTTTGGTCTAGACCTGCTTCTATTTGAAAAGTGTCCTGAGATAAACTTCTGTTATGAATTGGCGCATAACAAATAAAAATTGAATTGAACTGAATTGAACAATTCAAACAGTAAGGCATTAAGTATACCAAGATACTTACTGTAACAACAATAAGTTGTTAACAATACTGTATGTGTAGAGAAGCAGCTGCAATGCGAGCGCCATTGTTCACATACTTTTGTTCAAACTTCGTGTGTACCTGGACAATTAAAGGCATCAATCACCAACATCTGTTGGAATATTTTCTTTCAGAACCTCAGACTTGGCATAGTGTAACAATAATTATACATTGGAAGCAGAATAATACTCTTTAAACTTTCAGTCATGTTACTATTGTGCAGCCCTGCTTGACAAAAGATCACTAGTTTTTATTCTTACCTCTGTCTTCCCTCAGGGAAACGATGACATTTATATTTGTGGTATAGGCAGTGATGGCCTGGTGCAGGTACAGCATGCCTTTTCAACAGGACGAACAACTCCACAAGCTTTTCCTCCGGTACTGAAGTTCTTCTTGTACCACTGATTTATATCTGGGCAATTGTGCTTGGCAGACTGTGAAATGTCTAATGCTCTGTCACTGCTCTTACAATCAACTGCACATAACAGTTGTTTTCTAACTGTCCACCAGGATAATGTTTCAGATGTAAGAGCATCGGTGCAGGACACAGTGATTAGCTGTTCCTTCACTTCCATGAACACCTTGTCGACTCAGAGGACCACTGGCTTCAACAAAACCTACTATCTCATATTTGCCCATGGGCCAAGCAGCAACGGTAATGACAACATTGTGTAATGGTGGAGGAGGAAGATTATCAGGTCGGTTATCAGTGATAGAGATGTTACAAACTACTACACGTGGAGAAAAATGTATATAGTACTGGGCCATGAGCCTTTCCATTTAAGAGAATATCTTGGCAACTGGAGATGTTTCTAGTTCTCTCAGATTATAGAGTGCTTTGGTTCAGCTACAAGTCAGACAGCTAACGAGGATGAACCACTGAAGGACCACATGCAGTTTTGTTTTGAGATATTCAGGTTTTATTTTCATTTAATTAAATTCAGCACATCAATTTAAAATGGTGAACAGTTTCACTGAAACTGCTTAGTAGTTGTCCTACATAAGGAATTAATGGACACCCAGCAGCCAATCAGAATTGAGTATTTGCCCAGTCCATGGTAAACGCAGAAACTAACCTGTTTCAGTTTGAACAAGTGTTATTAGGAAGCTGAACTAATAAGAGGGAAAGTTTTTAATCACCTCAGTAAACTACAAGCATTATTCCAAAATTTTACGGAGAACTGGAAGATGATCAGTTAGCTTTGTCTGTTTTATGTGCAGAGGTGTATAGTAACGAAGTAGATGTACTTCGTTACTACTTACTTTACTTGAGTTTTTTTTTAATCAAGACTTTTACTCTAATACATTTAAAAGTTAAAAAATATACTTTTACTCTGTTACTTTGACGTTTGCCACCTCGTTACTCGTTACAAATTAAAATAGAAATATAATTAATCATCAAAGGATTATCTGGAATGGGTGTGTCTGAGAGGACGAAAAGAACAACGTACGGTACTCTCGCGAAGATTAGAGGTAATGGCGGGATGATCAACATTGCTAACTCCGCAGTTAACGTTGATGAGGAAGACACGGAAGACGTTACCACACTGACAGCATCTCCTTCGGTAGAAGACGACAGTCACTCGCCGTTAATACAGTTTGTGCAAGACATTGTTCAGAAAAGTGGTGTGCTACCAGTCTGCAGTGATGGTGCTGTGTGTAGTGAGAATGTATTTTTTAAGTTGTATTCTTAACCAGACACAAGGCACCTTATTTAGTTCGGTTCTCTGAGGCAGATAGGAGGCACTTGATTCACTCACTCTAACATGTTCTGCTCAGGTGTTTTTTTGTTTTTGTTTTTATCATACCACATCTATTTCATTCACCTGAAAGTGAAATAAAGAGAACAAGGGGAGAACCATTTTTGGTTGTTTTGCTTCTTTTTATGCGTACTATAAAAATACTTTGTACTTTACTTGTACTTGAACTTTTGATACTTAAGTACATTTAATGTGAGCTACTTTAAGATTTTTACTCAAGTAATTTTCTTATGGGTGACTTTTACCAAAGTCATTTTCAGTTATGGTATTTGTAATTTTACTTAGTAATTTATTTAAGTACTTTATACACCTCTGGTGGCTGCTCACATAATTGACATTACATCTACCTTTTAGTAAGATCTGTGATCAAGCTAATTTTGACAGAAATTGTTTATCTAGTACCAAAATGTTGTTTGAGCATTATCAGTTTTTCTGCAATCATTTCCCTGCTAACCAAGCAACCCATTTGCTCTCTGAGGTTAATGTGTAGCTAATACAAGGTTCTAATCTCTACAGGTGATACTTAATGGTTTATTTCTGGCATGAGGGATGACATAACTAATTCAGTTTCCTTGTTTCTGTGGGCTGCTAATTCATTGTATCCACGCCATGGGCATGCCTCTGCGAAAGGCAATATCACTCAGTCAGTCAGTCACTCCATAATATCTCAAAGAATATTGGATAAATTGCCATGACATTTTGTACTGACATTTATGTCACCCTCAGGGGCAATTAACAATTGCTGTTTAGTGATCCCATGTCCTTTCCTATAGTGCCACCATATTTTCTAATTTTCAATTTGTCTAATATATTGGTTGATGATTGAAAACGTGCAAAATTAATGAAGTTTCCATCAGTGTCAGCTTCATGTTTAGCCTCACAGAGCATAGCTGTAGTAGACTTATCACAATATCTTTGGTCAAACTCTTGTTTATGGTCTCACTTTTGTAAACACTATCATTGAATAATTTGTAATCACTATCATTAAATTTGCTGTCCAATATTTTTCCGTTTCACAATTGCTTCCATTCACTATTACAGAATTATATCAGCTGTTTATATGTCTGTACTCTCTGTAATAGCACACAGTGAACACTGTCTGTCTCAGCTGTAACACTGATTAACTTATTTTGATCCTCAGTTGTTATCATCTCTTTTCAGCCAAAGAAATCATGGTGATAAATAAAAACAACTAGAATGCTGCCAGGTCAACAAATGGTTACAAACAAACATATTAACAGGTTAATAAATTAACAAAACAAGCACACTGCTGGTAAACAATGCACCAGCAAGCTTCCACACAGCAAAATACTTCAGGGTACCTGCTGAGCAACTTTGTGCTCCAGTCAGAGAACCTGCTCCTTAGTCTGGCTCACACTGCTGGTGCTGGATGCCCAATTCACCTATTGCAACCAGCTCCCTCAGGCCGCAGGCTGGCCTTCAAGCTAGCCGGTCCAACCCCTCCAACAACTCAGCATACTAAGGCATTTTCATTTCTGCCTTATCTACCATACTTTTTATCACTCACTCTCCCATATGAACTCCACAGAATATAGCCCACAATCTGCTAAGCCTTTGACCATAAGCTTTTTCATGAAATAAATAAATGTACAGTAACTTACCAAGATAAATCCAGCTTGCTGACTAAGCTTGCTTTGTGATATATCCCTAAGAGTGCAGCTCAGTGGTGCTGTAAGTTTTTATAGTTTATAAGAACAAGCTTTAAGCTGTGAAACACTAAATATGTGTTGGACTACAACCAAAATGTAATGCACCTCTGATCTAGAGTACAATATTGGTCAGACACTCATTTTATGTGCTGGCTCTATAATCTTTGGCCAAATAAGATTAATAACGAACATCTCCTCCCTGATGTGTTTCCTTTATTCCTCTATGGATGCATATTTCTATTCACGCTAATCATCTCCATCTCTTCTGTGAAAGTCCCTTTCACCATAATTGACTGATGATTTCTCTGCCTGCATTGTTTGAGCTAGTCAGTACTTTTATGCTGATTCCTTAAATACCCTGAAAGTAAATGACATTATCCTTTCAAACTGTGCCTCTCCCACTTCAGTCCAGTGCGAAGAGCACAGACAGCAGTGGCAACCTCCTGGGCTGAAAAGTGAAGCCAACACCGAAGTGCTGAAAACTGCAGTTCCTTGAATGACCACATGCCTGGCTCCAAAACTAAGTGACTCTCCATGTTCAGCCTCCATGTTAAAACACCCAACTTTACAGCAGAAACAAACAACCAAATTAAGGCTTAAAGTAATGAATAATTAAGGATGTGGCCGATTTGAGTGTGGATGCCGTCACTCAAGGCAAGTTTCAGCAACCACGCTTCATACAGCATACCATGAATTGGTTTTCATATGCCCTGAAGATGTGAGTTGAAACATGTAGGCGTAAGTCTAACCTTTTTACATATCTCAGACTTGTCTTGCAGACCCAACATTGTACAGCCTACCAATTCACAGCATGTTCTACATGGGAATCCTGTCCCCTCCTATTTTCATGGGTCTTCATCTAATAAGAGGCTTTCTTTGATGAGGTCTAATGGCCCAAGTCTTTCTCTGTTGCTAACCTCTAAAGATATTGTTATACACTTTGAAATGATCCCTCTTTATTTAAGTGCTCTTTATTCTGCTGTTAATTATAGAGTTGGTAATAAAGCTGTAACATTGCAGTAATTCAAATCATTTTATATTTGCTTCATTAAGCTAAAGATAATCAGATGGGAGTTTAATAGTAATGTAATGCAGTAGTCATTTAACTAATGGTAGCTTCATTAGTGCTCCACTGGTCAGGGAGAATTTTATTAAGCAAGATTAGAGACTTGGCCAGATACCTGTGAAGAAAATGTGCTGTACGTCTGTGATTTTGATTATGCAAACCAAAACATGAAAATTACATTAGGAATGTAATGTGTGCTTATTAGTTAAAAAAGTGAAACAAAGAAAGATATTACTTTATACTTTTTAAACCTGTCTAGTTAACCTTTAAATCTTTGAATCTGAATGAAATTCTGAAATAAAAAAGTGCCCACTCACCACCCTTTGTCACATTTGTAAGATAGAAGATAAGATAAAAGTTTTTTAAGGCAGGCTCAAGTCTCAACATTCTACTTCTCATAGTAGTTTTTCTTTCTATTTTTAAGTAATGTCATTTGAACATTCTTGCAGAACTGATTAATTATTTAATTTGTTGAAAGACTTAAATATAATAAACACAGTTTATTACAGATTATACTCATGCAAGGCCTCACTTCACAGGGCAGAATGTGTGGTCATTAAAGGACTGAAAATGAATGGTGGGTTGAAACCACTTAAACAAAGTTTAGGTCTATTGTTGCTGGTAATAGTCTTGATGCTCCACTTTCTGTATGTAGCTATGCAGGTGGTTGGTTTTAATTTTACATGTAAATTAACTTGTCAACGCCATTGTTCTGTTTAATTAACACATGTCATTATGTGATTAACAAACAGCTTTGGGTGCAGAACAATCTCTTGTGACTTCAGTCAAAGTAAGAACATATTGTTTAATAGGAATGCAGCAGGCTGAAATCCAACATTTTCTACTGTGAAATTTTTCCAATGAAGTTAACCAATATCACTGCCAAGCCATAAGGGTGCCCACTTAGTACGTATGCATGCACCAGATTGCTTTATCTGTTCTTCACTATCAGTTTTGCAGTGTATCTCAGTGAAAAGGACAGCAAGAGTGTGCCTAGAAGATAAGGGTTGACCTCACAGGGCCAGAGCTGACGTAAAGGAGCTCTGTCAAAGAGCCAACCATGTGGAGAAGAAAGCTGCTAATATTTCTAGGTCACAGAGACCATGTGTGTGTGCTCCAAGCTCCTTCAACTGGACTGAATGATTTATTACTCAGTCAA